ACACATTGTGGAAGAGAGCCAGAGACTAATAAGAACTTAAGATTTAATGCAGAGTGGTGTATAAACACAGAGAGTGAAAAAAGGTGAGTGAAGAAAGAACACTCAGTCCATTATGGGAAGCCTCCAGCAGCCTGTGTCTATTGCAGTGCAACTAAGGGAGGGTCCAGGGTCACCTGATCCGGCCCTAACTATATGCTGTATCAAAAAGGAACACTTTAAGCCTTTAATGTTAAAAAGTAGAGAGGGTGTCTGTCTCCCAAATCCAAACTGGGAGCTGGTTCTACAGAAGGGGTTATGTGGTATAGTTAAGATGCTTCTAGAAGCCATGTTAAATAATTCTATTTAAACCAGTGACCTTTGCACAAACTCTAAGATTTTAGGTAAAATAAATCACACAAACATAAAATGGGCAGAACGTTTAAATGTTAAGCTTCCTTTGTTTTCCAAAACTGTTAAATCCATGAATCTTTTTCACTCTTTACAAAAATCTTGATAAGGGAAAAAGGCTGATGTGCCACCTAATGACATTTAAATTGATAAATGCCACGGCTGAGGAGATTCTTAGTGCCATGTCACATTACACGTTATTTTGTTCCTGTTCTGAAAGAATCATTAGAAATTGTCACTGTTCATGGCTAAGATTGTTAAGCCCGTTATCTTTTCTCATAAGGTCAGCAGTTCAACATCCAATCCTGATTTAACCAGCAATTCAGTTTCTTTGACTCTCCAACTTCTCCAACCTTAATCCGATAATCGAGTGGATTTCAGGTCTAAATTTATCCAAACAATTAGTGAAAAAACATACGTGAACAGCAAGGGCTGTGAGATGAAACTCAAACCTAATCAAAAGTTGGGTGTTGTTTTGTTCCACCTCTATTTCAACAGCCTTTTAAGGTAAACTGTGTGCACTCTATTAAATGGAAACACTCCACTCAATGGTAGGAACAAAAACTAATAAGACTGTTTACTTGGAGGACTTGTTGCCTTGGTCAGATTGCCAGCAATCTTGCAGTGGGGCAGATGAGTAAGACTAAGAGGTTTTAAATAGACAAAAAGCAATCATTGAAAGTATACAGCTATTCTAGCAACCCATTTTATCATCTGTAAATAGTCTGAATCAAACATGGATGTCTGAACCAGGTTTAATGGGACTGAATAGAACTGCACTCACTAACAGCTATAAACAGGATAGTGGCATAGAGTAAAAGCCAAAAGCCGGTCAGATTCATCCTCTGAGAACCCTGATAAAGTATAAGCTATAAGGAGAGCCAGTCAATTACACACATGCCCATTATTACCATTTCTTTCAAAGTGCTGTAGAAGCACCATCACAAACAGACATAATAGCTTCAGAAACACACACGGATTAGTTGGATTAATTTTCACTTTGAAATGGATCGTTCAACTACAAAGACAGATGGAATGTGACAGCTGCACAAGCCTAGCATTTTTTCTCTCTCACAGTTTTAAAAGATGCTTCATTCAGCGATATCATGGCTCAATAAAGGCAAAATAAGCCCCCTTTTCTCGATTTTTCAAATTTATTAAAGGCATCCAGTCGAATGGACACAACTGAGAAATGAAAAAAGGAATCAAAGATAATTCTCTGATTGTCCACTGAATAAATTACAAAAGAGCTAAAAGAACAACTGATCCCTTTATAAACCAGTCTGAGAAAAATAGCATAAATTCACTGAAACCTCCTACACTCTCATACTGTATTTTCTTATATAATAGTTACAGATGGCTGAATAGTCTCACCAATATGGTTGGAGTAATAAATGTCTCTTTTATATATGTATTCATAATCAGTTAGCAGTGATTATGATAGACACAGTGCAATACAATGCTGTGGTCCACTTGTTTGGGGCTATTATCTCAGTGCTGCATAAGACATTAAACCACAACTTGATATAAGCAATAAAAACAGCATGTCTACATCTTTTGCCAAATGCATCAAAGTGCTATTTTGTAGTCAATAGCACATGCTACACAGCTGGTGAGGGTGAGTGTGAGTGGAGTGGCTCATGGTGTAATGATTTTGCCAATTTTCTATGTAAGACGCCAAAAAAGTGATCAAACCCCTAACCTTCTGTTATCAGCACTGAGTCCAATTAGCTGAGCGACACTGTGTCATGCTGATAAATTCACAGTGCCACTGCCGTCTGTTAGAGAATGCATTTTGTTACACTGTTTACTCCTTATCTTAATTTGTTAAATTCTCTGAGCATACAGGGCAATCAGCAAATTTTGAAAAGCTGCTTTTCCCCGTCTACTCAGGAGTTTGGGGCATCGCTGTAAGGGTGTCTGTGTTGGTCAGGTGTTGACTTTGATCTAACAGAAATATCTCAAAATGTATTAAATGGTTTGACGAGAATGAACTGAAGTCATCTACTGTCAATCAAGTAGCTCTACCATCACTTCAAATACCTGGATAGCAATGCCATTTTCAATTTCTATAAGCAGCGAATTTACTTTCCTGTGTCACAAAGTTTAGGGACTCAAACACAGAAGAAAAGGTTAGTTAATGCACACAAATCCAAATATGAAAACCTAGAAGGAGCTGCAAAGGAAAGCAAAACAGAAAACTAGGAGCACCGGAGATGCACATAGGCAAGCAAAAAGGATGGACTGAAAAGAACACGAGGAGAGCAGCTGGACGAAACTGAACACAAAACTAAACAGGCAATGCTAATGCGAGTGAGGGAGACAACGGAGGGAAAACAGACGAAGAAAGAAAGAGAAGGAAAAGAACATACCCGAAAGGAAAAGCAATAAAAAGAAGCAGTAACAACAAAGGCAAAGTGAAGCACAACAGATCCAGTGATTCACAAGAAATAACCTCCCTTCCAAGGAAAAGGTTGTAACCTCAAGCTGTTATCAACAAGTTGGCCAACGCAGATGCTGCGTGTGAAATATAAAAATAGAATAATATGTGTACTGGCAGTATCATCTTTAGAGACATCGGCATCTTAGAAATCATGGGTGAAAAAAAAGAGTTGTCTACCACCCTCAAAGTTTTAAAAAGACGTATTTTAATCAAAATCATAATCATTTCATAATCCTTACCACACAGTGAGTGGAAATGATTCAAGCTGAAACCTGATCTGTGATGAGATTCAAATCCCAGCATCCTGTTCAAAAGCCAGCTGTGTTTGTACAAACGCAGTCTCACGTAATACAGACTCTGTCGTTCCTTTTAACTGGAAATGCGCCTATATGGCATTTTAGGCATGTTTAAATGTATTTTTTCCAATGGAAGGAAGGAAACGCCAGTATGCTTACTTTGGAAAACCTGTTAACCTTCCACCTGCTTACCTCAACTGCAAAGGTGCACATTTGTCACTGAGAGCACTTAGCTCAAAGCACTACAGTGCTTAATTACAACCTCACTGAGCTGTTAGCCAGACTTCAGAAAATAATACTGCAGTACAACTGGGAAAGTTTCAATTAGTTCAGTCTAGGTACAGTATACTATAAAGATAATGCAGGAGACTTTAAACAAAAGAAGGAAGCTCTCGTGACTTTATTAGAACAAAGCCTCAACCACCTGTCAATCAGTGCCAGACAGGCCATTATAAAGCCAGTTGTCTGCTCTTGTCCAGCCGCTGGCACTGAACGCAGTCAGGCGTTTCATCTGGACAGCACTCACCCTCAAGGTTAGACAGCTCTTCGGCAAAGCTCTTCCTCATTCATTCATTCTTTCCCTCTTGCCACTCCCCTTTTCCTACATAGCATCTCTCTCGTGTGAAGATTTAATACCCGTTCTCTATCTCTCTCCTCCTCCCCGCATCGACGTCGTCCTGTATTCCTCTCTTCCTCTCTCAGCCTGATGAAGTCAGAGTGTTGCTCGGATATAAACAGCCACTGCAGGCCATCCATAGTGATCTCATTACACAGGACTGCAGGGGAAACTGTCCTACCCAATTTAACAACTATCCTTCCTTAACCTCCCCCTCCCCCTTCTTAGATACATCAGGGTCAAGTAAGCAATTAAGGGGCCAATTGTCTAAACAGGATGCCAGTTGAATGGAAGATATAAAAATCATAGAGCAAGCCCGGACAGTTTCCAATTAAGCATCAAAGAATAACATGAACATAACTGTTTTTCACTGGCACATCTCTCAAGTACAACTTGTGCAATGGCAGCATTAACCTATATTATATGAATAATTAATAAGCTGACTGGAAAGAGAGGTGAAATGTGTTATTGTGTGACAGCACATTATCAGACAATGCTTTTAATTACCTGAACACAGTGAATAGCAACATGAAGAATCATTAGGTGGAAAATGGGAAACAAGCAAAGAACAGTGTAAATGGATATCACATTAGCTCCGGTGCTACTGTGTGACGGGCTGCATGTGAACTTGTTGTTTTCCCCACAGGGATATAACCACAAAATGACAACAGCCATAAATAAGGGTGCGACTTTAAAACTCTGGGTTATTATTAATAGATGCTGCACAAACAAATTCTATGTATAGATGTTGTAAAGCCAAAAGCCACTCCAACATTACATTATTACTTCAGTGTGCATCTCTAAAGTGCTTATAAAGAGGACAGGAATAAGCTTTGCCTTTTTCGTTCTTTCCATCAGTGCTTCAATAGAAATAACTGGCTTTAGAAACATTAAGTTAAACTGAGTGAATCTCAGCATGCCAAGATGTGTTTGGACTGTGATGATGGTGAAACAGTTCCATAAAAAAAAGCTGATTGGATGCAGCTTACAATCATCTGCGCCTTGAAAAAAGCATGTTTATATCTTTTGAGAAAAACTAGCAGATACAGAAGGGCAATCAGCAATTTTGTTACCATAGAGCTGAGAATGTCAACTGCGAGCAATCAAGACGGGTTCATTTCACCCAAAAAGTCTGCAGTCAGCCTCTGTTCCCAGGTACATACGGCATGCTTCTTTGAGACAATCATCCATACAGATGGTTCCAGGCTTTTCCAAATGGCTTTGACCTCTGTGAAAACCAGCGTGAGTGCTAACTTACCGGATATTGTGCGATTTGCGTTTGATCTCATTCCAGCAGAGGTTCATTTCTCCTGTTTGATTCGGGCCACCCCCTCTCAGTCTCCTACACTCAGTGCCCTCCTCCTGCCCCTCACCGTCCACTGTGGACTGGCATGGCACACAGTGGCATCCCGGCCACGAAGGCCGCCCCGCAGCTAAAAACACACACACAGCAGGACACACACAGGTGAGTATTACAGTTTGGAGAAATTTGAATTGATTGCTGATAGATGGTGTTCTGCTCCTATATTTAAAACCATTGAGGTAAAAAAAAACCCAAAACCCTCGACTTTTGTTGTGACACAACATTAGTTGAGAAAGAAACAAAAGATAAAAGATTCGGTGCTACAGTGATGGCTTTCCAATGCGTTAAATTCTTTCTTCACAATATTAAACTGATATGTTTTGGAGTCTGACAAGCCTGGATCTGTTTCACAAACATGAAAGCCATATATACAGACACAGCAACCTATAAAAACATGTTTTTAAAGCTATAAACCCAATTCCCAACCATTTTTTGACGGTCTTAAAAAATAAAATCTATCGGAATAAAATCACAGAGTTTTGTCACTTCTAAGACAAGACACATTAATTCTTAACATGAAAGTGAATAATGAATCCAAGACAAAAAATGTCGACTGTTGAGAGCAGATTTGTCAAACTATCTGCCAAGCAGCAATTGCATGCTATTCAATCACGACCACATAAAGTCTAGAACTTATAGGGCGCACCATCGTTAAAAGCAGTAAGGACTATGTACCCATTAATAAACAATATCCCAAAATGCGAAGCACGACACACACAAAAGCATGGTCAACAAATCGGGGCCATATGCAATAACCCTGTCCGGTCTGTGAGACAGAAAACCTGATTCATGAGACACCAGCAGTTTTATCCCATTATTCCAATCCATTAAACTCAGGAAACAAACGTAGACAAAAAGCCTCTTTTTCACAGACTTTTAGAGTGAGGGGGTATTCAAGGCTAGATATGAAGAGGTGCAATCCTCTTGATGGAGCTAGGGGGAAAAATATCAAGGAGTTAGTCCACACACACAAGCACACACGGCCTATCATACGGACAAATACACACACACACACAGAGTAATAAGTGGCATTCGGAGCAGAACAAGCTTTTCCAGGTTCGCAGGTCATGATAAATCTCATGTTCGGTCACTGGGCTGTCTGAGGCTTCCTGTCTCTTGTGTTCATTTCACAACCTTTACCTTTGCAGCAGCTGGGCATCTGAGCTTACACCCTCAGCCTTTATAACACACACAGAAATACACGCTCACACACCATGACCGGCAGCGTCCCCAGTGTTGGTCAGAAGGCTCTTATCAGATTGTTTTGAAACTGGTTGATCATATCTCCCCCACAGGAGAACCCAACCTTTAACACTCACTGGAGCAGTCAGGCATCCATCTAAAGCAGCAAAGGGACAAAATACTGCACTCAGTGCTCACACAAATATGCACCTATCAAAATAAGTCTTAAACCACTAAAGGTTCAGTGGTCAACTCAAACAGATTAAGCTATCACCATGTCTACTTTTGAAACTAGCTGGGACTGTAAAGACTGTAAAAACAACACATAAAAGACTTCAGACGACACAGGTGATTCTTGGTCTGCATGCTGACCTGCCAGGTCCAATCTTTGGTTTTGTATTCATTTATTTATATTGAGCTTTAGTTCTTGTGTTTGACAAATTAAAAAAAAAGGTTCTTTTTTTTTTTTTTTTATTACTTGATTCTTTTTTTTTTTTTTTTTTCTTTTTTGTTTTTTTCTTTTTGGTTTTTTTTGTGTTTTTTTGTAGTTTTTTAGGTTTGGCCTTTTTAATTTGTTTTTTGGTTTGTTTTTTTTTTTTTTTTTTGTTTTTTTTTGGTTGTTTTTTGAATTTTCTTGGTTTTTTTTTTTCGTTTTTTGGTCAATGGTTGCTTTTTTTTTTTTTTTTTGTTTTTAGTTTTGCGAGTTGGTGCTCAGTTTTTTAGGTTTTTAGGTTCGGGTGTTGTTTTTTTTTTGTTTTTTCTTTTGTTTTTTTTGGAGGTTTGGATTGCTGTTTTTTTTTGTTTTTTTGTTGTTTTTTGGTTTTTTCCTTTTTTGTTTTGTTTGTCTTTTTTTTTGTTTTTTGTCTTTTTTTTTTTGGGGTTCTCCGGTTTTCTGTTGTTTTTTTGTTGTTTTTTTGGTTTTTGTGTTTTTTTTGTTCTTTTGTTCGGGGTTTCCCGTTCTCCACTTTTCAGCCCGGCTGTGCCCTTTTGTCTGTTGTTTTTTTGTCTTCCCTTCAAATTCGGGATTTTGTTTTTTTTTTTTGGTGTTTTGTTTTTTTTTTCTTTTGTTGCTTTTCGGGGCTTCGGTGATTCTTTCCTTTTTTCTCTTTTCTTTTTTTGGTTGCCGTTTTCTCTTTTTTTTTGTTTTTTTTTGCGGGTTTGCACTTGGGAGTCCAATGTTGTCTTCTGTTGTTTTTTCCTTTTAGCTTGCGGGTTCGGGGTTGGTGTTTTGTTTTATTTTTTGTTTGTTTGGTTTTCGGAGGTTCTAGTTTTTTTTTTTTGTTGGTTTGTGGGTTTTTGTTTGGTTTTTTCTTTTTTCTTGCTTCTTTCGCCTTTTTGCTGGGTTGTTCCTTGGTTTCTCTTTTTTTTTTTGTGACGTGTTACCTTGTTGTGTTTTTTTTCTTTTTTTTTTTTGTTTTTTTTTTTGTTGTGTTTTTTTTTTTTATCTTTTTTTTTTGTTTTTTTTTCTTGTTTGCTGTTTGGTTTTTTTGGTTTTTTTTTGTTTTTTATTTTTTTAAGGTTTTTGGTTTTTTAAAAGGTATTTGTTTTTTTTTTTTTTTTTTTGTTTTTTTGTTTTTGGGGTTTTCTCTTTTCTTTTTTGTTTGGGGTGTTGGGTTTTATGCGGGGTTCTCTTTCTTTTTTTTTCCTTGTGGGTTTTTGGTGGGGTGTTGGGTTTTTCGCCGGTTGGTCTTTTGTTTTCTTTTTTCTTTGGTTTTTTGTTTTGTTTTGTTGTTTGTTTTTGTTTGGCCTTCCCCTCACCCCTTCGGCGGGGGGGGGGCCTGGGTGCTTGGTTAATTTCTTTTTTTTCTTCTGTTGGGTTCACACCTGGTGACTGGAGCTTGGCACATGGGGCCCGGCCAGGCGCAATTTGAAAGAGAAACATGGGGCCCCATGTGCCCTTAGGACCAGTGCCTTGTGGTTTAGGTGGCGGTCAGCGGTGGAGTTGCATCCCGGGTTGCAGAGCATTTCTCTTTCAAGCTTAATTGAGCCCAGTATGAACCAGGAAGGAACTTTTGCTGCACTTTCAACATTTCAGTGAATGACTCCCCGGTGAGACGGAAGAATAGACTTGCTTTCAGCCCACTCATCTCCTTTCTTTATCCTTACACTCCTCTGCCTGCATATTTATTCTCCTTTCTATCCTCTGCAGATATATTCTTCTCTCTACCTTTCCAGTCTGTTCGGCAGGCCATCCAACTTCAGATTGGCTGTAGGTTTTTTTTCCCTATTTCATATGAATCATAATAACCATCTCATCCTCACTACCGTCTCCTGTTATCTCTCCACTTCCTTCCCTTCCTTTTCTTTCCTCAGACAGCTCCCGTTAGTGTAGGTGAAACTTGTGTGAATCAGCACTACCCGGCACATCTCTCCCACTCCCTCCTGGCTCAGTGTCTCTTTCCCTTTGCTGGTAATCAGGGGTCACGTGTGACTTTGCATATAGTGTTTGCACTGCAAAGACCCCAGTAGGATCTCCAGCGCACCTTTTAAAAATAAGAACACATAATAAAGCCTTTCTATTCTACAGACAGATTTGATTCACTTCACTTCACCATTTGTGAATAAAAATGAATGCAAATGAGTAAACAGAAGACACACGTTGCAGAAGAGAAACATGGTTGTTTGTTTGCCTTGGAAAGCTGAATTGTCAAAATGTGAAATGGAGTTGAACAATGACGGCCATCAACCACGCCACTGCAGACATCAAGGGAATACCCCAAGGGTGAAAGATAGCTCTGAGAGAGGTTTGGTTCAGGAGTGAGGCACAAAGTGAGTGACAGACGGGGCCCTCAGTTCTCTCTTCTGCAGCTTTTTCTCATGCAGCTGCCAGGATCATATAAAGACACAAGGTCATGCATCATTGCACCTGGAATATTCTATTTACAAAATGTATTACATATTATTTTTAAGCAAGTGATGTCTACATAAGTCATTTAATGCAAATATCTATGTTATTTCAGTCTCATAGGCACACATTTGCATTAGGCAGGCATGTATCAGCCCACAGTGCAAGACATTAGGTGGTTCTGTCTCTCGCTTTAAACTTCAAAAACATGAGTCAAGCTTTAAACATGCATTATTTATGGCCTTGATTGGATGTGGCGTTGCTCAGTCAAGCATATGTACTGCATGTTTTCCTAAGATGCTGAAAAACCAGCTGAGATTTCACTGACATGCCACAAAGTGACACAAACAATATTCGTCTTGCTGCTATGGCTACAACACTCATCTCTCTCTTTTTTCGTTTCATGACCGTTTCCAACAGCAATCACATCTCAACACTTTAAAAACTGCCCCAATTATGTTAACAGTACAGACAGCATATCTGCCTTTTGTTCTTTTCTCTGACCACTCAAGCCGAGCCAACCTGTAATAACATTTTCCAGACAATATGTGAATGCAAAATCAAAGGAGCTGAAGATGATAAAAGATAGCACACAAAGCTTTGCTGGATTTCACAAAGCAAAGGAGAAAAGACAGTTCAACTGTGCAGATAAAGCTTGAGAGGATCAAAGCCACTGTGCTGCTACACCAAGTCTACATGTTGATATTAATCTGAAGGAATCAAGACTTAGTTCAGATATGCCAGAGAAGCAATAAGATAACAAGGATTTACTTTCATTACTGGAGCTTTGCCAATTAATACAGTTCTTTAACAATGTGCAGCACCTACCTGAATAATATGACTTCCTGCGTGGTTCTAAATGAAGGCTCAGATTCACGTTGTTAAACCCGCCACCACGGGTAACCGAGCATTGACATTATTTACCCAGTCTGTTGGTAGGCATGGCAGATAGTGCAGAGATAAGTTTGGGATGCAGATGAAAGAAAGATCCAGGAAGAGAACTGGAGGTAGGAAAACAAGGAGAGAGGCACAGGCATGGGGAG